GAGAGAGAGAGAGAGAGAGAGAGAGAGAGAGAGAGAGAGAGAGAGAGAGAGAGAGAGAGAGAGAGAGAGTCGAATCTTCCCCGAATTCGGGCGCCCACTTCCCCCCAACATTCCCCCTCCCTCTTCTCATAATTTTCTCTCTCGTTCATTTTTTTGAGAGCGAAGGCGCAACAGGTACCCTTGTCTTGTAATGTATTTCTATGCAGTAGTTTTTGCACTATTTTTAGATCGGGTGTCTGAAATCAAGAGGGGGAGAGGAGCAGGAGGGTCCTCAGTCTGGGCAATGAGGTTCGATATAGAAAGGGAGGGATCAAGTTTCTTCTTCTCACTAAAAGTTTGAATCATCCGGATCAGGCCACCACGCCCCTCATGCTTTCGGCAGTGCTGCAACAGGAAATGTAGTAATGTAGAAATAATGGCTAATAATAATTGTGCTTCATGTCTCTCGTTTCCTGTGAAGTTTTGGCTATTTTCCCTAGTTCAACTATGCAGCTAGAATCTTACTTCTAGCGGGTCAAGTGATGCTGTTGTTTGCCCCTTCATCCCTCGTGGATGTGCCTGTCTTTGAACCAGTTTCCGGCGGTTTCTGTTTTCTCCTCGCAAGCAGAGTTGCCGGTGTAATGCAGAGCATGTCATCTATTTCCCAGACGTAAGGAAGGCATTGGAATTGCAGCCTGCCAAAATGATTGAGTGCAGAATCGCAAAAGGGACAACCATCTTAAGATATCTGCTCCTGAGAGGTAAGCCCTTTGTTTTTCCGGTGTGGCACCGGGCATGGTGATAACATAGTCGCTCGAGTCACACTTCTTTTCCCTGTTGAGTTTGCTTTATGTTCTAGTTGGTATCATGTGCTTTTTTCTTTTCTTCTTTGAAGTGTTACAAGTTGCCAGCAGCCTGGCAGTAAGGGGAGGGAGAAACATAGAGCATGGTAATCATTAAGAACCATAGCCGGTAGAGAATATGCCTTTCCTTTGCGTTCATCTTGTTGCTTGAAATTGCTTGGCAGAATTCAGGCTCTTGATGTGTCTCCCTTGATGGCTCATGATGTTACACAGTGGGTGTGAACAAGAAGTAGATGATGCCCCAAAAGCAAAGCCAAACAAGAAGCAAAAAGAGTCGCACATGTATTCAGGCTCCTTGTGAGTTGGTGAAACATATGATGAAACTGTCTGTGACAGCCCCCTGTTTCTTGTCCATGTCTCCTTTTCTGCCTCTGTTTCACTGCACAGGCCTAGGAAGGCTATGTATATGTACATGACTACGTATAGGTATATGACTATATATGTACATGACTAAGTATAGGTATATGACTATGTATGGCTATGTATAGATACATGACTATGTATAGTCCTATTGGACTATGTTGAGAAATCTAACTCTGGTCATTCCATAC